ACATTTGAAAGTTTTCATTATGGGAACAAAATAAATCAAAGCACAAAACAAACTATATTGAGATTTCATTAGAAAATTAAGCTGGATTATTATATTTGTAGATTTTAGTCTACAATTTTTTTCTGGTCTAAAAAAATTTTGCATGCACTTATTCTGAATAATAACAGTCAATAACAAGCATTTATTTAGCACCTACTGTTCTGTGAAGCAAGCAAGGAACTAGGGAGGTATTGATATCGGTTGAAGAGAGATTTAACGGTGGGACAGCAAGACCATGCTTGGGGAAAATAAACTTTAGTGAACTAAGCAACCAATAAAAAACAAACTAGAATGAAATTCCTCATTTTAAAAAGAATGAATGATATTTAAGTGTCCATATCATTTTTACTAAGCACTTATCCTTCCATTATAGATCTTCCTCATGTGATTTTTACTGATTAAACATATATAGGGGAAAAAAAGATTTTCTTTTCCGGCAACTCTCTCTTTAGTAAAAAGAAAAAGGAAAAAGATCCCTTTGTCTTTAGCTAAAAGACCCCTAACTTAAAATTTCAGCACTCATTAACTAAGCTGGGGTAATTTTAAAGTTTCAGTAAACCACTAGGCAAAATACAAAGTCTGAGCAACGTATCAGTAAAGTTTTTAAAAAATTATTCTTGAAAGTATATCACATGGAAATTGCCCATATTTGAATTTAAATTCAAAGCCTAGATTGCCAAACATGTAAGGTATATCTAATTATATGGATAGTAAATGATTGGATACTTTCCTACTTCTCTTCACCTATATTTTCCTGTTCCCTTCTAGTAGCTTAAGATTTGGCTCCCAACAATAAAAAAATAGTATGTATTATGGGAAATTCAAAACAAATAGCTACCCGAGGAAAGGGTGCTACAATACTGCATTATAATGCATGTTGATTTTAACATTTCCTTGACCTTGAGTCTTCCAATGTCACTTCCAGAGAGCCACAATATCCCACTCACCTAAGAAAATGAGGTGTATTCACGGTGTAAAATATTCCATTACTGTACTAATACATTTAAGCAAACTTTATTCACCTCATAAATGTGGTTACTTCCTTAAGACACAAAGCACCTCAAGTCTTATTAATATCATGCCTCTATACCTCTAATCCACCTTAATATACTGTCGTGCTATGAATCAAATCATGACCCCTAATTCCTGGAGAAACAGACTGACACAATATTCATTTGACTACAACTAAGTAAAAGTTAAAGAATTCAATAAAAAGTTAATGCATGCAAAAACTCAATTCAGAAAAACTCTTTTGTCTAGTAGACTTTATTAAAAGAATCCCAAATTATATCACTCATTATTTTTCAGATTTTGAAGCTAGGTTCAGATATGTTCTTTGGTATACACTTAAACAAAAATGGCTTTAAAACAAACTTTTGTTTTAGAAACAAACATTTCTTTAATATAGAAAACAATACTGTTGTATACATAAAAAATTTGAAAATCAAGCTTTCAATATGAAATATTTTATAGAAATATATTTTGATAACTATGAATAAAGATCACAAATCTGTCAAATAGCTTTTAGTTCATATAAAATATCAGCTAACCATATAAAGAACATTTTGTACTTCCCTTTTTTCAAAAGAAATAGCCTAAGTATTGCAAATCTGATAAATATTGCACACATGCATTGGCAGTCGTGAATGTTAAGTATCTTTGAAGTAAACAGACCATAATTCAAGGATTGCCTTTACAATAAGTGAAATTAATACAGTCATCGTTTGAAAATGTGTACATACAAATTTGGAGGTTAAAATATGTTAAATTATCAGAACTTTTCCTGTGTAGCTGAAAAGTGGATACCAAATTAAATTTTTCATAATATAGCATAGTCATTTTATAATTTAGAAACTCCTTTAGAACAATATGTGCTCATATTTACAAAGCTACATCAAACTACATCTTAGAATGAATATGTCAGGTGATAAAGAGAACCTGCTGTGATAAGACCATCCTGACCGAGCAATACAAAAAACCCAACAAGCGTGTAAAATCAGGTTACTTGAAATCTATGTTACTCTCCACTAAGGTATTATGAAAATTTCACAATCTCCTTCATTTCCACTCATGTCTTGCCTTTCCATAGCATCCTCAAATTTACTTTATGTTTAATGCAGCTGTATTATTTTCTCTAATGATTTTCTCTCTCTGTCAAAGCACAGAGCATACCAACAGGGTCATATGCTGTTATATAGCTCCACAGATTTTCGTTATCGTTAATAAAATGTAGAAGTAACTAATATGCTTTTATGGGGGAAAATTACTAAATACATTTTCCAAAACAGACTCTGACTAGATGATTAACACAAGAAGAATGATTTGACATATGTTAACTTTTTAAAGTATGGTAACAAAACTCATTTTCAAGCGCCATTTTAATTGGTTATCTATTCCTTCTGATGAAAAGAAATCCCATCCATTTATTCTTTCTCAGTTCAAAACAATCATATCCATCTCTTGAGCACAAGTTTAAGTCAAACACCACTTTGTAAACGATGTGCCATTCCTCGGTTTTTGATACAGTTTCCAAACAGAAGTTTCAAAACAACTCTGACTAGCAAACACATCACTGTACTTTAAACATAGTGATGTTTTCTATCCCATATTTCAGGAAGGTTAAAACACACACACACCCAGGCAAGGATTATCACTGTAGACAACAGATTCTAAGTGAGTTCATTAACTCTTTAGGCAGATTGGGCGATGCTTGTTTTTAAACTAACTACAAATCAAACGAAGTGTCTATTCTTTTTAATGACTCACACCACGTTACCAATAGATATGCAAGGGAGGAAAAAAAAGGGCTATGTGTTCTGAACTGTGCTTACCTAAAATCTGCATCTAGTCACTTTAGATTTTGGGAGATGCCCCTTTCTGAGATAATCAAGATACTTTACAACAGGGAATTTAGATTTAATTATCAAACTTTAATACCATGTTATATAGGTCAAGTGAGTATGTGTGTCTTTCTCCAGAAACAAAGAGATTCAGAGTAATAGGATTTCAGATTTCACAGTAGAAACAACAAGATATGTTTTGAGAATGTCATTTACCGTAACACAAATCAATATTAAATGCTTTATGCAGGAAGCACACTTTCAGAAAATGGGCCCTAAAGCTTTCTGGGATCCGACCCTAATTACTAGAGCAGGCTCTTGCTGTTGTCTCTCTCTTCAATTATTTACAGGGCAAAAAGAGCCAAATGGCATTGCATTAGCTATATTAAATGCTATGTACTTGGTTTCTAACTTACTAATGGTACATAAAAATTACTAAGGTGAACGTGCCTGAAGAAACATGGCCTTTTCTCTTCTTCACCTGAGCGTATGTATTTATTATTCATATAGCTAAGTGTTGAATAGGCTGTCTTTTAGGCACCCAATGCTGCATAATTTAAACAAGCGCATTAAACATATATGATATTTAAAAGGTAGTGCATTGATTATGCCTCAAAATTTCTTTGAACAACTTATATTTACAATGTAGTTCACAGAAAACAAGCACCTCCCTCCAGTCCCTGAAAACAAATAGGTGGGTGCCACACAGAAATGAATAATGAGTATGCTTGCTGCTACCATCTTGCTGCTTTCTGGCGACCCAAAGTAAAATGAGAATTGGGGGAGTGAAAACGAGGCCCTCGAGTGCTAGGAAATTTCCGTCTCTATGTTGACTAGTGTCCTTTTCACATGGACAAACACAAAGCTATGTTGTAGGTACATAAAACGGACCACACACACTGCAAGACAGAAAAGGTTATCAAGGTTGAATCAGCGATTCTTTGTACCAGGCCAGAAATGCCCTCTGCCCGCAAGCAAGGCAAGATTACAACCTCCCAAATAAAGTTCAGACACTGCATCCATACTTGATTGTTTTGTGATCTAGAAGGGCACCTGGAGTCGTGATAGGAGATGCTAATTGCGGAAGAAAGCTGGTGCATCCAACTTCCGCCCTCCCAAATCGTGGAAGAAGCTTCGAAAGCAGTGAAACCCTCAGTCTTCATGGACCCAATTTTTTTTAACGATTTCAGGAGGCATCAAATTCTTATTGTAAAAATAAGATAGGTCCACTAACAAAGTACCCAGGGTCCCTAGAAAGCCAGTCGCAATTTCTACGGCTACATGTCATCAGTGTTACCTAAAAGCATGCCAAGGCCACTTCTGAGAAAGCACCGTTGGAAATCGATCTGTGGTAAACACATAAGGTAGTATTATTCTAAACTAAATACAAAGTCACTTCTTTCTCTGCACTGAAATCTGCCCATTGTTCCTGCTTTGCAAAAGCCACAGGGAAGATTCAAAGGGACATCAATGAACACTGAGTGAACTTTGGCCACTCTTCTACCCAAAACACCAGCGTAAAAGTAGAGATCAGTAACCAGGTGAAGCGCCACACCGCACAAAGATCAAGGCGAGGGGCGGGCGCGCAGGGCCGGAGGCGGGGAGGAAAATGTCCCGTCCCCCACCCCAGGCCCCAGTCATCGGGCGCGCGGGAGGTGGAGGGGTGTCCCCGGGGGACAGGAGGCTCCGCGCAACTCCGAGGGAAGCCAAGAGTTACTGCTCAAAAGGCAAGGCCCAGGAGAAGGGGTCGAAAGCCGCGCCGCCAGCGGCTCCTGCCGCGGGCCCCAGGCGTCGGCGGCCGAGCAGCCAGCGCTCGGCGAGGGGCGCCGCTCGGCCCCGCGACCCTCCCCGCCTCCTGGTCAGGAAGGGGCTGGCGGCTCTTTCCTGTCTAGTCTCTCCCCCCGCGGCTTGCTGTAACCCGATCCCCGCACTCCGCTGCCCGGGCAGCCGCCGCCCCGCGCGCCGCCCGGCTCTACCCAGGCCAGCGCTATAGTTAGCAACCTTTCATCAACTCCACCGGGGGCGACGGGGGGTCGCTCCGCACGCCCCTCCCCGGACCCGACCCACGCGCGCTCCCGGGGCCCCCTCCTCCGGCACTCCCCACCCCCAGCGCCCCTTTACCTTCGCTTGAAGATACTGGGGGTAGTAGTAGGTGGCGTACTGAGGGTACATCTGCTGTTTCCACACTTTGCCCATGAAGCTGGAAGGGAGCCTGCTGTGCAGGGTCGCGGGCACTTTGGGGTTTCCAAGTCTCGATCTCTCCTGCCTCTCCCTTTCCGGCGGCGGCGGCGGCGGCGGCGGCGGCGGCGGCTGCCGCTGCTCCACCTCCTAGCCGGGACCAGACGTCCTCCCCCTCCTTCTTCTCCTCCTCCCAGGCAGAGAGAAAGACACTGCAGAGCGCAGAGGGCACCCCGGACAGGGCGCTCGCAAGGAGTTGCCTCCCGGAGCCCGGTTGCTCCGGGGCTGCCAAGAGCTGGCGCGCTGGCCGCGCTCGGTTCGGGCGAGCAGGCTGAGCCGGGCTGGGAGGTGATCAATACAAGTGGAAAGTGTTGCTGCGGCGGCGGCGGCGGCGGCGGCTGCGCTCGGTGCCAAGCGGCATCTGGGGTGGGTGCGCCCGATTGGGAGAGGGGAGAGGGGCTGGCGTGCCGAGGCCGAGGGGGAAGGGCGGGCGGGGGCGGGGCTTGGGCGCCGCGGAGCCGGGACCGGCTGGAGGTGAGGGCTGAGTTTTAACCACTCCTCACCTCCCAGGCTCCCGGTTGGACGGGCAGAAACCCTCGGAGCCCGGATCGCTTTGTGTCGGGGGTTGGGGGATGGATTTGGGGGACCCAGCTTAAGAACTGAAGAGTGGACACCTCGTTTGCTTTCATGAGTTTTTATCTCCGTAAGGGGGAGGGGAGGTAAGGAGAAAAAAGAGGAAATCTGATTAATCTCTCACTCTGCCGCCCCCCACCCCCGCCCAGTGATTTTTGTTTTTCCACAAGGGAAGGAAAGTGATTTAGTGCCCAACCACAACGCTGGAGTCGGGACACCTGGGTTCTGTTCTCCCCACCCGCCAGGTCACAAGACTAATTTTCTAGGTGACCTTGTGAGGGTTAGTGTCCTTCGGTTTGGTTTTCCCAGATGTGAGAGGTGAAATCATGCCCTCTACCCAAGGGGAGGCAAAGCTCTCGCGCGCGCGCACACACATACACACTTCACAACAAATAGACGGATCCTTCTAAGGGGGAGATGCCGCAAAGAGGCAGAATGTTATTATTAGAGGACACAATATAGACATCAGCTTTTCTCTGCCTCTTTCTAATGCTGCCAGACAGTCTGTCAACTCCCACTCAGGAGCAAGGAAACTCCCTGAGTTTGGAATATTTTAAGGCCATTTTGAAAGTCACGCTGGCATATTGTTGCAGTGTGCTTCAGTGACATATAAAATCAATCTCGCTCTTTCTGCCTCTCCATCTCCTAATTGTCACAGCTCTAGACAGCCCCAGAGAGCAGTGGTTCGGTTCACTACATAACTGGATATAATTTAATGGAGTTAATTGGTCCCTGAAGCTGCCTGGAGAAGACTTTTATACTCTAGCTCAAAAAGAGAGAATACCAAAATGTACAAACAGGATAAGTAAGAAAGCACCTCCAGATTGGAGTTCTTGCACATCTAATAAAATGTAATGAAAAATTCATTTGTTATTAAATACACCTTGATTACTTTGTTTTGTCATTTTGGTTTTCCGAGAGTCTGTTTTCGTAACCTCACAAACGTAAATCAAACTGAAATGGCATGCATGATTTTGTTAAAGTTATATTTTTACATGATTACATTTCAAAACAGGTTTAGTAAGATACTTAAAACAATGAAATAGTGAACTGAAAACTTTATAATCTTTTTATGATTTAGACAAATTTCTAGGTTGACAAAACACAATAAATGTAAGTTCATATGAGAACATTTTGGATATGCCAGGAGGCTGATCATGTTCTCTTGAAAAAAAACATTAACAGTTAACTTATGTGAAATCGCCTATGGAAACTAGTATTTACTGAGCTTCTTCTATATTGTGGGCACTGTTGAGGTTAACGTCAGTCTGAAGGTTGGAGTGGTTCACTGTCTAGCTAGAGAAGCTTAAAACAGTTCTTTATATTGTTTCAATGTGGGACCCTTTAACGTTTTCAGGCAGAGAGCTGACGTGAACTAATCTGCTTTAAGAACCTAGGAGGACTAGGAATGATGGTTTGGAGGAGAGATTGAAGGAAGAGAACAAGTTAAGAACAATCTCAGCAGTTCTAGACTTGAGGTGAGAAGGGAAATTACCCGACTTAGGCTAATCTATTTTTTTCTGGATGATGAAGATTCAGCCTGTTTTAGAGAGCCCAGATGCACATCCACAATTATGTAGACACTTGATTTATGACCAAGTTGGTATTGCAGAGCAATGGAGAAAAAATGAGCTTTTCAATAAATGATTCTGGGTCAATTGGCTGTCCATATGGAAGAAATGAAATTGGAGCCTTGCTTCACAAAAGGGGAAGAAAAAAGTTCAAGTGAATTAAAGGCCTGGATGTAACAAACAAACCTATAAAGCTATTAGAAGACCATATAGAAAAATATCTTTATAGCCTTGAGGTAGGGAAAGATTTCTTTAATGTAGTGACCAAGAGTGCAAGATTGATCAATTTGACTATGTTAAAATTCAGAACACTGATTCATCAAAGGATTCTATAAAGAAAGTCAAAAAGCAAGCCACAAAATAGTTATTTGTAATCCATGTAACTGCAAAAGGTTAATATACAGAATACATAAAGAACTCCTTGAAATCAGTAAGAAAAAGAAAATTTGTTAGAACATGGGCAAAAGAATGAATGTGTGTATTTCACAGAGAAGGAAGCACAAATGTCCCTCTGACATATGAAGATGCTCACACTCACCAGCAATAAATGAAATGCAAATTAAAATAATAATAAGATATCATTTCACCCTCACCAGATTGGCCAAAATTAAGAACTATGAAAATATTAAGAAAAGGTGAAGATGTAGAAAAGGGAAAAATCTCCAAAACACTCCTTACTGGAGGAAGTGTAAATTGGTACAGCCACCACATTAGAAACAGTTTAGCATTACTCAATTTCATTTGCATGTATGCTGTGACACAGTAATCCTACTTGTAAGTATATACCTCAAAGAAATGTACATGAATGTTCATAATATACTGAAAATAACTCAAGTGTCTACCGACTGTAGAATGGATAAAAAGACTAGTGTATGTGTACAATGGAACAATTTGCAGCAGTGAAAATGGATAAACTGCAGTTAAAAGCATTAACATTGATCATTTCAAAACTGATGTTGAAGAAGCAAATCAACATAAAGCATGATTCCATTTGTATGAAGTTCAAAAACAGAAAAAAATGGTATGTTGTCTAAGAATAAGTACATGAATACTTAAAAAAAACTGTAAAGGAAAATAAGGGGATTATAACACAAAATTCAGAATAGCTGTTATCTCTAAGGAGAAGAAGGGTGAGATATTCAGGGGTGGACCAAAGAGGACTTGGAGAGATGGTAATGTTCCATGTTTTGCACTGGGTTGTGGATACATAGGAATATACTGTTCCATGTTTTGCACTGGGTTGTAGATACATAGGAATATATTTCAATATTTTTCTTTAAGTGGTTCATAGACTCTTTTGTATGTTTGCTGGAGTTGACACTAACACATTTTAAAAACTCAGCTTTTAACTTTAATCGTGATCAGTTTCAAACAAATACAAAAGTAGAGAGACTAGAATAATGACCCCTCTTTTCCTAATACCCAGCTTCAACATTTATCAACATTTTGTCATTCTTGTTTCACGCACACAATTTTTATTTTTCTGGAGTATTTTAAAGTATATCCCAAACACCATATCATTTTACCTGCAACTATTTTAATATCTATCTCTAACAAATAAGAACTTTTTTTGTAACACAATATCATGATCACATCTAACAAAATTGACAATGATTTTTTAAAATCAACTAATACTCAGTTCTTGATCATTTTTCTCTGATTATCTAAAAATTGCTTTTTGTAGTTCGTTTATTTAAATCAGGATGAAACAATGTCCTCATTAAATTTGGTTGCTATATCTCTTAAGCCTCTTTTAATGTATAAAAGTTCACTCTCACTCAGTTTTTAAAGTGATATTTGTTTGTTAAAGAAATCAGGTCATTTGTCCTATAGAATTTCCCACCTAGCTGATTGTAACCTCATGGTGTCATTTAAAGTGATGGTTAGTTCTAGAGGTTTAGTTGCACGCAGTTTCACATTTTGGCAAAGAAATACTTTATGGATGGTTCTGAACACACATAGGTGATGTGCGTGCCATCACATCAGGAGACACATAATGTCTGGTTGTCTCACTTCTAGTGATGTTAATATTGATCAGAAGTTCAGGTATTTCCAGTCTGATTTATCCATTAGAAAGTTCTGTAGTTTTAATAGCCATTCATGAGTGTTATCTCAATCCATTATTTCATTAGGGGTTACAAAATTGTGGTTTTTATAATTTTATCATTCCTTGTGCACTTATTAGTTGGAAATTGTCTACAGAGAAGAACTTTCTCTCTTCAACTCTTTGGTTAACTTGAAATACAATTAGCATGGGAAAAACAGGATAAATTTCCCCCTATTTACCAATTTTTAAAATAAAGAGTTGATGCCATAGGAAACTCCAAAGCTAACTAGTTTTAAATAACATTCTGAACTTCTGGATTTTTTATTTTTATTTTTTTTGCTGAGGAAGATTCACCCTGAGCTAACATCTTTGCCAATCTTCCTCTATTTTGTGTGTGGGCTGCCGCCACAGCATGGCCACCAATGAGTGGTGTAGGTCCACACCCAGGAACCAAACTGGGGCTGCTGAAGGGGAGCAAGCTGAAATTAACCAGTAGGCCATGGGGCTGGCCCCCTGAACTAGTGGATTTTTATATATTTGCTTTGTTTCAACCCATTGCAGTCATTATTCTTGTTAATGCTCAAATTGTCCCATCTTCAGCCAATGGGAAACCCTTTGAATTGGCTCCTGTATCTTTTTTAACAGACCCCAATAGTCCGATAGATTTTTTTGCTTTCTAGCATGATAAGATTGTTCCAAGTTCTTGTACAATTCATGCCCAAATCTGGATCAGCCATTTCTCTAAGAAACCCACATCAGCTTGATCTTAAAAAAATGTTTTTTACTAATAACAAATTCTTTAAAATGTGTTCTTCATACTTATCACATTGGAGGCAGAAGCTCATGAAAGATTCTTAATGAAAGTTGTGCCAAGATGACCTCTAGGAGAGCATGAGCCATTGAGTGAATTTCCCCAAGAGAAGTTATACATTTATTCCCTCACTAGCATTTAAGAGGCATCCTCTATGTGTAGGACATTGGGGATACAGTTGACTTGGTGTTCGCCTGCATGGAGCTTACAATCTAGTTAGAGAGACAGAAATAAAACGATGATAAATTGTGATAAACTCTATGAAGAAAGCAATGTGATAATGGGAGGAGAGTAATTTTGTGAGAGTGAGGTTAGGAATTTAAAGCAGAGT